AGTGATGATGAGTATGATGAGGATGATGAGGATGATGAGGATGATGAGGATGATGAGGAGGATGAGGAGGATGAGGAGGATGAGGAGGATGAGGAGGATGAGGAGGATGAGGAGGATGAGGAGGATGAGGAGGATGAGGATGATGAGGAGGATGAGGAGGATGAGGAGGATGAGGAGGATGAGGAGGATGAGGAGGATGAGGAAGATGAGGAGGATGAGGAGGATGAGGAGGAGGAGGAGGAGGAGGAGGAGGAGGAGGAGGATGAGGATGAGGATAAGGATGAGGATGAGGATGAGGATGAGGATGAGGATGAGGATGAGGATGAGGATGAGGATGAGGATGAGGATGAGGATGATGGTGATGGTGATGGTGATGGTGATGGTGATGGTGATGGTGGTGGTGATGGTGGTGGTGATGATGATAATGAAGGCGCTGGTTGTGGTGATGATGATGGTGGTGGTGGTGATGGCGGTGGTGGTTGCCATGATGATGACGATCACGATAGTGGTGGTGGTGATTGCAATGGTGGTGATGTTGATGTTGATGGTGGTGATGATGATGATGATGATGGTGATGATGATGATGATGATGATGATGATGATGATGATGATGATGATGATGATGATGATGATGATGATGATGATGATGATGATGATGATGGTGGTGGTGATGATGTTGATGAGGAGGGGCACGAATAGAGGAGGAGGAGGAAGGGGAGGAGGAGGAGGAGGAGGAGGAGGAGGAAGAGGAGAAGGAGGAAGAGGTAGGTCGTCACATGTGGCACGGTTTCGTTAGGGGCGAGTCCTGGGGGCGTCGTGGGGGGCGCCCTGGAGGCTCTCTGGGGTTTTCTTCGCCGTCTGAGGGTGTTGTTGGGCCGTCTTGCGTTTTGGGAATCCGTCTTGGGGTCCTCTCTGTGCCGCCCCTTTTTAGGGGCCGTTTTGGGGCTTCCTTGGGCTGTCTTGGAGCCCTGTTCGGCAATCGTTGTGGCGGCCATTGGGCTATCCCGAGTCTGTCTTGGGCCGCTTTGAAGCAATAGTAGGCGTTCCTTGGGCCGTCTTGAGCTGACAGAAGCCCGGGACGACGAGAATCCAAAAATAGTTCGAATGCTAGATGGGCATCAATGATGTTGGTCTCTTCGGACCTTGTTGGAGGTGTTCTTGAAATTGCCTTGGGCCGTCTTGAGCGCCTCTTGAGGTATCTTGAGTTGTGATGGGGCCATCTCGGGCCGCCATGGGGGCATCTTGAGCCATTTGGGCATCTTGAACGCCTTGGAGAGCGCCAAGGAGGCGTCTGGCAACCCAGAGATCCTCGAAATAGGAGGGGAATGCACGCAACGAAGTGCTAGTAGACGGCTGGGGGAATCAGATGATTCCAGAAATCCAACCAGGCAGCACTTGGCGTTCTACCACGCCTTCACGCGCCAAGGGGCATGGTGGTGGATTTTCCCATGCCTCGTTCAAGTTAGGAACAAAGGTCTCAACAGCTACGCAATCCTGCCAGCGCAGATGGCGTAAAAACGGCAGGTCGTTCTGGGAGTCGGTGGTTCAAGATGGGGTCCTGACGGATGGGGTCTTACGGATAGAAAGGGATCCAAGTGTGATTTAAATTGTTTAAGGAACCTCGTCCTTAGGACCTCATCCCCCAGGACCCCATTTCTGAACCACCGAGGGAAGTTTCCTTCTCGATCGCGGTGAGGGCGGCGGCGACGCGATCCATTGTAGTCGCTGGCCGTGTATTTGAAATACTTGTTGAGATTATTATCGTGGGATTAACAGCTGCTTGTATTGGCTGGAGCGCTCTCTTTTGCAAGGTCGCCCGCCACGTTACTCTCGTCCAGCCCAGCTGGCTACTCCAGAGGCTCGCGACAGCAGCCGATGATAATCTCCAGAGAGCAGCGCTTTGGCGTTGCGATCACTTGGGTAAGATGATCAAGCGCGCGCGGACTCCCGTCTTGAGTCTTTCCTGGAGGCCCTTGATGTCGAAATCCCCCGCCAACGGCCACGGCTACTTGTCCGCCCCCATGATTGCCGCGAATCTCGCCAGGACGTTGAGGATCCTTCTGGTGGGCCTCTCACTGCACCACGGGTGGGACAGCACGGTGCGATGGCCGTCTCGCCAGCAGCGCACGTGCCGACCAAGGTGATCGCCTGCCTGCCTGGGGACTCCTTGGGGAAGGCGTCCCAGGATCTGCCGATGTGTTCGCCGCCTATGAAATGCATGCCGATGTTACGTGGGACAAGGATTGCCACCTTTGCACGATCATACCTCCCTGGCCCGCAGCCTGGCGACGACCTTCGACTTCCGGCCTTGGGCGTACTTCTTTTCCCCTGCTCCACTCATATACACCTCGTTGCAGTGTCAGTTTTCGCACGCAGATTACAGCCCTCGAATATAACATACCCTACACCGCTCGAGCACCCTGCCCAATGGCGTCCACCTATTGGCACTAAGGATGGTAAAGCGCTGTAGTCCCCCCCTTTGCCCGCCCAGGCTTGGTGCTGCTCCTCCCTGTCGAAGCCCAACGTGAGGCCGCCCCCACCGCGCTGGCCAGGACAGGAACCAGCCTCGCAGCGTGAGCCTCGGCTCCTCGGGGGCGCCGCGCCCCGTGGTGTCTGCCCTGGTCAGGTCCGGCGTGACCTCGATGGGGAAGGCGGCGATTGCCTCCGCTACCATGTCCGTGTCTAGCCTGCGGCGCTGGACCCTGCATGGACCTGGCCTTGCCGCAGCTCTGCTGGTGCGGTCTGCTCCGCACCGGCGAGAGCTCGTGTGCGTTCCTCTCCAGGCGAGGGTCCTGCGCCGCTGCGTCCTTGTGCACCGTCTCGGGGGTGTCCACGGCGGCCTTGAAGTGCTGGGCTGCCGCGTACCAGTCCTCGCCGGCGCCAGCTCTGGCAGGTTGTCGTGCCGCGGCCAGTTGGCTAGTTGTGCCATCGGGGTCTGTGATCTCCGTAGTCTCATTATGTGGTTTCTCTTCCGCATCCACGAAGCCGGCGAGTTCGGCCTGCTGCTTGGCGAACTCGCCCAGCCGCGTCTCGATCTTGTCGCTCCTGTCGCGCTGGATGCGGAGCTGTCTGTCGACATGCGCCTCCGTACGACACATCGGGATCCAGTAACTCCTTCTGCGCCGGAAGTTCACACGCGTCCTGCGCCAGGCGAGCAGCCGCTGGCCTGAGGAAGTCCACGTCCAGTTCCTCGCTCTGCGCTCGCAGGTCGGGCAGGCGCTTGCGCAGCAGCGCAGGCCTCTCCCCGGCCGCCTCGCCGCCCTCAGCCCGGCCGGCCGGCCCTGCGTCGGCAGCGGTTGAGCGCCCCCCCGCCTCTGCCGGGTCGGCCGTCCCCGCGTGTCCTCGGCCGCCACCGCCTCTCGGGGCGCGCGGCTCCGCAGCGGCAGCGGGCGGGGCGAGCTGCAGCAGCCGTGGGCTCCGCGCTCCTCGCAGCGCCACGAGGGCGGTCCCCGGCTGCAGCCACCGCTCATCATTCGGCGGAGCGGCGCCGCTCCTGAGCTTCCTCCACCAAGGCCTGCCATCAGAGAGGAGGGGGGATGCGGAGGAGGCAGGAGGATGAGGGAGAGGGAGGAGGCGGAGAGGGAGAAGGGTGAGGACGAGAGGAGAGGAGCCAGAAGAAGGGTAGCAGCAAAAGCAGGGAGGATGGGAGATGAGGATGCGGGGGAAGGAGGAGACGGACGGAAGATGATGAGAGATTAGAACACAGAATTGGATGATGTTGATGATGATGATGATGATGATGATGATGATGATGATGATGATGTTGATGTTGATGATGATGATGATGATGATGATGATGATGATGATGATGATGATGATGATGATGATGATGATGATGATGATGATGATCATCATCATCATCATCATCATCATCATCATGGTGATGGTGGTGGTGGTGGTGACGACAAGGAGGAGGATGATGAGCAGGAGGAGTATGTTGAAGATTCAGATGATGATGTTGCTGATGGTGGTGGTGATGATGGTGAAGATGATGGTGGTGATGACGATGAGGATGATGGTGATGAGGATGGTGATGATGGTGATGGTGGTGATGATGCTGGTGGTGGTGTGTGTGAATGTGATTGTGATTGTGATTGCGATGATGATGGTGATGATGGCGATGACGATTATCGTGATGGTGGTGATGCTGGTCATGAGGGATGGTGGCGATGGTGGTGATGGTGATGGTGATGGTGATGCTGGTTGTGGTGTTCGTGAATGTGAATGTGATGATGCTCGGGGTGGCGATGGTAATGGTGATGGTGATGGCGATAATGATGATGTTGATGATGGTGGGAGGTGCTGATGATATTGGTGCTGATGCTGATGATGATTATGATGATGAGTAGCATGATGATGATGATGATGATGATGATGATGATGATGATGATGATCATCATGTTGATGATGATGATGCTAGTGATGATAATGATGATGGTGCTGATGGTGATGGTGATGGTGATGATTATGACGATGACGACGACGACGACGACGACGACGACGACGACGGTGATGATGATGAGGAGGAGGATGGTGATGATGGTGATGGTGATGATGGTTATGATGATGCTGATGTTGATGCTGATGGTTCTTGTGATGACGACGATGATGAAGATGATACTGATGATGGTGATGGTGGTGATGATGATGGTGATGGTGGCGGTGACGATGCTGATGATTATGATGCTGAGTATGTTGATGATGGTGATGTTGATGATGATGCTCATGGTGATGATGGTGGTGGTGGTTATGCGGAGGTTGATGCGTATGATGATGCTGCTCCTGATGCTGCTGCTGATGCTGATGATGCTGGCGATGATGACGATGATGATGCTGATGATGATGCTGATGATGCTGCTGATGATGATGCTGATGATGATGATGGTGGTGGTGGTTTTATGTGGAAGAGGAGGAGGAGGAAGAGGAGGAGGAGAAGGAGGGAGGGGAGGAGGTGGAGGAGCAGATGGGGCCGAGATCTCACGTGCTCGCGACGCCCGCAGGAGGACCTCAAGGAATACTACTTCCAGGTATGGCCCTCCGCGGCCCCGCCTGCCCTCCACTCGCGGGCGAGCGTTGCATGCCCTGCGGGGGGGGGGTATAGGGGGGAGGGGGGGGGGGGGGGGGGTGGGGGGGAGGGGGGGGGGGGGGTAGGTGGGTAGGGGAGGTTTGGGAGGTTGGTGGGTAGGGGTGGGGGGTGGGGGTTGGGGGGGGGGTGGGGGGGGGGGGGTGGGGGGGGCGGATGGGGTTTTCGGAGTGGGTGCTAATGCTCGTTGCCGTTTGTTATTTCTTTTGTTTATTGTCCAGGCTTGTGCCCTGGAGCCCACCCCACCCCTGAGGGACCAGGCCCTTGACGCGGGCCGCCTCTGCTGCGCGGCCGCTGGGTGCCCGAGAGTGGCCATCCTCCCCCTCCCCTTGTTCCTCTCCTTCTCCTTCTCTTCCTCCTCCTCCTCCTCCACCACCTCCTCCTCCTCCTCCTCCTCCTTGGTCTCCTCCTCCTCCTCCTCCTCCTCCTTCTCCCGACCTTCCTCCTTCATATGTGTTTTCTCCTCCTCCTGCTCCCTCCTCCGAGCAGCAGGAGGGAGGAATGTGAGAGGGGGGGTCGCCCTGGACTGCGAGGTGAACTAGGCCACGGGCGAGGAGAAGGAGGAAGAGGAGGAGGAGTTGGAGGGGGAGGAGGGGGAGGAGGAGGAGGAGGAGGAGGAAGACTCCCTCCAAGCTCCCTCTCCATAGCCCCCTACAGCGGTTCATTTCCATTGCGGGAGCTGCCTCGTTGGAAGGCAACCGATTGAAGATCCTGCAACATGCCAGAATTTTGTTCTCGGGATCCCAACGCAACGGATCAACCTTATTGTTGCGTGTTGACGTTCCAGAGTCGTGCCAGAACGCCATTCCTGCGACTTCAACACAGCAAATCAACGTAACTATTGCGCCCGCGTAATCCTGAATCCTTTCGAAACAGTGTCCTTGGTACGTTGATGATGTGAATTCGTGAAACCCTTGCAATTGTTTGAAACGATTGTTCGCGGCGCTAAGGCGAGAGCCACATTTTGGAAAGGAATTGGCCTCAATCCGTGAAACTCTTGCAAATGTTTAAAAAGGGTGTGGCGCCCTCTGCTAAAAAGCTATATACCGGCACATCTGAAAGCCGCCCGCGCAATCACTCCGTGAAGACTCTCGCTAAGTGTGGAAAAAATAACATATTGCGCGCCGCGCTCGAGGCGAGGCAGGCTCATTTTCTGACAGTAACGAACTCGCCTTCTAAATCCGTGAAATTCTCCAATTCATTAATACAAAAAAGATATGCCCCTCGCGCTAGTCTTAAGATACGGTGCGAGACCACATTTTGAAAACCACCGCGCCTCAGACGTGAAAATCTTGTAATTTTTCTGCTTTGGAAAAACGAACAATATTTTTTGTTTTAAAATATTGTGCAGCGACGCGCTAAGGCGAGAGCCACATTTTGAAAACGGCCCGCTCTTCAACCCGTGACATTCTTGTAATTCAAAAAACGAATGCGCTCCTCGCTAAGGCGAGAGCCACATTCTTAAAACCACCCGCCCTCCATCTGTAAAACTGTTGCCAATGTTTGAGCATCAGAATCATAAATGGTGAGAGTCTACTGCGAAACGCCTGGCCCGCCCTGAAACAGGCCTCGGGGTGAGACAGGGAGGAGTTATCTATAAGGAAAAAGAAATGGCTGCGGAGGAGGAAGAGATGACGAGGAGGAGGCGGAGAGGAGGAGTGAGGATTAGGAGGAGTGTAGGATGTAGAAGTAGCGGATGACGACGCTGCTCGTGCGGCCTCGGGCGGAGCTCGAGTAGGAGGCGGAGGGGAGGAGACGACTCGATGGAGGTTTGCGCATCGAAGTGTCCGACGCAGGGGGGAGGCCCCCCCCATGGCGTGCCAGGTGGACTCGGCCACGGGCCTGCCGCTCCCCGGCACCCAGACCTGGCAGCGGCCCTTCGCGCCCGTCCCGCCCTCGGCGCACGCCGAGCGCGCGCCGGCGCCGCCCGACGCCGCCGGGCGCGGCGAGGCCGGCGAGGCCGCGGCGCGGCCTCCTCGCCCGCGGCGCGCCTCCCCGCCCAGGCCCCCCTGGGCTCGCCTCGGTGCTCCGATGCGGTCTCGACTCGATCCCTGCAGTCGGGGCGCAGGAGAAGGAGCCCTGTTCGTCTGGGAGGGGCTCCGTGTTCCTCAGTTGTTTCGCAGCGCTCCTTGGGCTTTCCTGCGGTTTTCGACGAGCAATCGAAGCTTAACTTGTGGAGAAAAGGGGCCTCGTTCCCTATTTAGGGTTCCTTAGGTCAACGCCCCGAGTGTATGGCTTCTGATTCCGCCTCGATGTCGGATGCCGACGTGGGATATGCGATGGCCGATAGGAGGTCTGCGAGCCCGCCGGGATCTGCCGACGCGACTCTTTCCCCGGCCCGGCTGTCGAGTTCCGCCGATCCGAGTCATGTCGATCGCCGATGTGACTTGTCGATTCGATTCTGGGCTCTCCTGACTCCACGCCCGCGGCGCCTCCCCACCCAGGCCCCCTCGAGGTATGGAAAAATCGCGACCGAAGGTTTTTGGGGCGTTTTCGGCATCCGGGAGCCCTTCTTGGCCCTCGGGACCGTCAAGAAGACGGCTCAGAAGGAGGAACCGATCCCGGGGAGTGGGTCGAGATCTTTGGGGGCCGACGTTAAGAAAAATGCATGACGTCGGGGGGTATGGCTCCCCAGACAGGCGGGGCCCGAGCGTCGGAGGAGGAATCCTGGGCCTCCCAGGATGAAGTCGGGCGTGTCCCTCTACAGGACGAATACAGTCAACCCGCATAGTAAGGATGGGCGACCGTCCTAAGGGTACCCTTGCATCCTTGCCTCCTCGGTCCAACCTTGGCCGCTTTTGCTGGCCAGCCTCGTTCGAAAAACGTTAACGTGGCCCTCCAAGGCCCTTGCATCCTTACCGCGCATCCTTATTATACGGGTTGACTGTACGTAGCACCCCGCAGATGCGGATAAGAGTGAGGGGGCGGTGGGGACGTCGGCAGTCTGCGAGACTCTGGAGAAGACCGCCGCAGACGCCACAGTTTCACAAATTATACAACGAGCCCGCCGCAGGTACCGATTTCTTCTTCAAAACCAATGTGGATCGGTCGCGGGTGGGTCGCGGGTGGGTCGTGGGTAAGTCGCGGGTGGGTCGCGAGTGGGTCGCGGGGTGTGTCGCGGTGTGGGTCGCGGATGGCCCCCCCCCCCCGCACCCCGCGATGCCTGCTACCCCCTCCTGCACGCCCCCCTCGCTCTCCCCCTCTTCCCTCTCTCGCCCTCCCACCTCGTCCTGCCCACAGTCGCGCCGCCCCCCCTCCCTCCCCCCGGCCCTCCCCGCCGGTCACCCGGCGCCACAGTGGGCCCGGAGGCGCGCCGCGCGCGCGCCCCCGCGGCCGCCCCGAGAACCGCCCATGGGGAAGAAGGCCCCCAGCGCCGACAAGCAGGACCCGGGCAGGGCCCTCCAAGCAGATCGAGACGGAATCCATCGAAGAAGGGAAGAACGCCACAAACACAAGTTGTTAGCGTTCCGCGAGGATTTCTTGGATTCGCGCTGGGCCCCCCCGGCGGCGCCTCCGGCGCCGCCCTTGGCGCGCTCCGCGCGCCAGCGAGGGGGGTCCAGTCCAGCGCGGATCCAAAAAATCCGCGCAGAGCGTTACGTTTCTGGCGCTCTTCCTTCTTCTAATCCAGGCCGCAAACACAAGTAGGTCGAGGTGGACTGGGGTCGGAGAAGCGTGCCGCATCGCCGATGCCCTGGAGGTGCAGTTCGACGTGGAGCCCGAACTTGTCCACGCCTGCATCACAGATGCAGCGCCGACGTCACCGACGTAACGCCGATGCACGGGCGATGAGTCGCGATCCTCCAACCCCAACTAGGTCGACCCCTTTTGCACACCTCCAGTCACGAAGAGGGGTCAGGACCCGTTTCATCCAGGACCCTGTTCTTTCGTGACGTTTCCAGCGTCACGGCTGGACCTTCGGAATTGTGTCAAAAACGCACCCCTGAAGAGTTCCAGGGGTCGATTTCTTTAGATGGCCAGGGAGAGGACTGGTCCTGAAGGTGTTTCCTCGTCTGCGATCTCCTGGGGCGCCTCCCGCGCCCGGGGTCGTCAAGAACAGCTCGGGGCGAAAAGCCCCGCCCAGGTCAAGCAGGAGCACTTAGGCGATGGCGGTTCAAGGATTCCAGCGAGCGGGGCAGGTGGTACCTTCACCAGACATCGGGCGCCTCTGGAAAAACGGTGGGCTGGTTCGTCGACATGTTCTGCCCCTGGAGGCCGGTTCCGGGTCTCGGGGCAAGCACCAGCGATCCGGAGTGAAGAATTTGTCATGGGTAAGGGGTTGAGAGGACCAGGAGCCCACATATCGAACAATTCAAAGCGGCGGATGTTTGGGTCCGATTCTCTTCTTCCTTCTCCTTCCCCCTCAGGGAGTATGATGGTGAGGGGGAGGAAGGGATCCCGCCTTCCCATCCTCCCTACCCTGCTCACCAGAGACCCTGAGACAGTCAGCCCAGCGACCTCATGCGTTTTCGTTTCGCGGCGCCGATTTTTGTTGATGCGGCGCCCGACGTGAGGGAGAGGTACCCACGAGTTGTTGATTGATTCGACGCTCTGCGCGAGGCACCCCATCAGGTCGAGGTCTCCGAGTTGGCTACACCCGCATGCCCGATGCAGCTTGCATCGTGCCCGCGTCCTGTCCACAGATGGGGTTCGATTCGATCCGTTCGATCGCGCAGCCGTTTCGGTTGATCGGCGGCAGAGCGCAGCTTGTCTGGACAGCCGCGCCCAGGAGGACAAGCCTGCGGAGGAGCCCAAGCAGCAGAAGGCGGCCACGGCCCTCCTCTTCCTTTCTCCTCGCCCATCCCTCTCCTCCCACCCTCCTCCCCCCTGTGCTCCCCCCCTCTCCTCGTTCCTCCTCTCCCCTTCTCCTCGCCCCTCCCCTCTCCCTCCGTCCACCCACCCCCCCTCCCCCCTCCTCCT